TGCAAACTCCATGCAGAAAGACCCCAGGCCGGGAATTGAACCTTTTCTTATGAGCTTGATTTATCTATTCCTGTAGGAACCAAGAAGATGGTGGAGGGGTCATTTCAAGAGGGCGATACGTGTTTAATCATTGAGGATACAGTGACCAGTGGTAGCAGCATCCTGGAGACAGCAGAGGTGCTAAACAGGGAAGGGCTTAAGGTGAATGGTCGTTGATGTTTAGAATATTTAAGATATTGAGATAAGGAATTCTTTGATATTTATGGACTATTTTCCATTCTACGTGTCCAAGGTGACGGATGCCATTGTGCTGATGGATAGAGAGCAAGGAGGGGTGGAGATGTTGGCATCTCGGGGTATTCGGCTCCTGCCAGTCATCTCCATGTTTAAGCTGCTGGATGTGCTGCTTGCTGCCGAACGCATCGACGCCCAAACAGCCCAGAATGTACGCAAGTTCATCCTGGACAACAACACCTTCAGGTACTGCAAATGTTTTTGTTTTTTTATGATTTCCTACAAGGCATCTATCAGATCTGAAATATTACCTTCTACTTTTTATAATCCTAACAATAGGCCTTAAAAGTCTTAAATATGTCTAGATTTTTAGATACTGGGCCCTAATTTATTTTTATTTCTTAATTTGTAGTTCTGGCTTCATAAAGTTCTGGTTCATGAAATCTGCAAAGTCGGCAATGAATGGTAGCAATAATCCATGTTTAAGGGAATTTAATGCAGACATTTAAAGGTGAAGCACCAGGGCCGCATCAGATGAGCATTAATAACTACGGTACCTTCCACTTTACAGTTAAAGACTTCTTTTAGTTGTTGGTCTGTCACATAAAGCCACAATAAATAAACTGAAACATACGCTTTTTAAATGATGGAATATGAAAACAAAAAATGCATTTGCAAAGGACAGTGTTTACTTTTTGTTAACTGTCTGTTTCAGTCCCAAGAAAACAAACGGCAGTCATGTTCCAGCTCCCAAGAAGTTGTGTGTGGAACCAAAGCCAGGTTTAACTTACGCAGAGAGATCTGAGCTACCAAGTATGTTATATACAATTAATAAATGAAGTGGCTTTGACATGTGGTACTAAAACCAGTTTGCCTGCAGAAATCAACCCGCTGGCCTCCAAGCTGCTTAAGATTATGGAGGAGAAGCAATCAAATCTTTGCCTTTCTGCTGACGTGACAAGCAGCATTGAGCTTCTTCAGCTGGCTGAGTGTCTTGGTCCAAAGATCTGCATGTTGAAGACTCACTGCGACATCCTGAAGGTAGAAGAAAAGCTCTTTGTTACTTAGCAAAGTGTACAAAAACATTTAAACTCACAGTTTTTTTGTGTGTCGTCAGGATTTCACAGAGGAGTTCAGTCAGAAGCTCCAAGCCGTGGCTGAGAAACACAACTTCCTCATATTTGAAGATCGCAAGTTTGCAGATATTGGAAATACAGTGAAGCATCAGTATGAGGGTGAAGTAAATGTTAAAATTTAAAAAAGTTCCCTGTTGAATTGGATGTTTGTGGTTAAACTGACGTTGCGTTTGTGTTCTCCAGGTGGTGTGTTCAGGATCTCGTCTTGGTCTCACATTGTGAACGCCCACGCTGTGCCGGGGCCCGGGGTCGTGAAGGGCCTCAGCGCTGTGGGGAAGCCTCTGGGGCGAGGCTGTTTGCTTATTGCACAGATGAGCTCCCAAGGATCTCTGGCTACTGGTGAATACACAAAGGCTGTGGTAAGAACGCTTCTACTGGGGAATTTATCTTGCAATACGACCCTGAGGGTTTTACTGCAGCTTTGTGTTTGTTTTTGTTTTTTTGTGCAGGTAAAAATGGCAGAGGAGCACTCAGACTTTGTGATCGGGTTCATCTGCAGCTCAAAGCTGGTTGAAAAACCGGAATTTATCCACATGACCCCTGGTGTGCAGATACAGGCCGGAGGTAAACATCATGTCTGTGACCTGCTTTTCTAAGGATTTAAGATTTGCGGTCAACAGGTTGCATGTTTCAAGTCATCCTTCTTTGTTGTGAAATTGAAATGTGTTTTTTTCCTTTTGTTTTACAGACGGTAAAGAATCTTAAATAAATCTTTATCTGTTTTTGTGTGAAATAGATGCACTTATTTTTTATTTTAATGTTAGAAGTGCCAAGAAATGGTAAATTTCCTAAATACAGTAAAAGATCAATTCTAAACTAACTAATAAATACAAACTATAAAAAGTAATGTTTAAACATATTCTTAGAAATAATCCTAATAAGATTAGAACTTTGGTTATTTGTAGTTACATATATTTAAAAGCAAACAGATTCTCAGTGGTGCAACGCACTTTTCGTTGTACCTTTCTAAACAATCTAAGACAAATTTTGAAATCTTAGTTTCAACTCTGAATAAGTTTAATTAATTAGCTGTAAATAATGAGGCTTTCATTTTAATTTGTGCAACCATAAAATGAGAGCTGTAATTACATAATCCAACACAAGGTGGTGCTGTTGTTCTACATTTAATCCACCTCCCTTCCTCATTTACAGCTTTTCTGATCCACCTGTCTTTTCTTTTCTTCCAGGAGATTTGTTGGGCCAACAGTACACAACCCCTGAGGAGGTGATCTACAACAAAGGCTCTGACATCATCATTGTGGGACGAGGCATTTTGGAGGCATCTGATAGGCTTGAAGCTGCCGAGTCGTACCGAAAGTCAGGCTGGGACGCTTACATGCGGAGATCGGGTCAGATTGCCCAGTAAAACGTTCAGGAGTAGAAGTGCTGAACGACCGCCAAGGGCCTCTATGGGAGGAAAGCAAACATTCAGGGACTTTCTGGCCACTAGAAATGAGTAACACATGGTACCTGTAAAGATGTTATCAGTTCACATCCAGCTGTCTCATTTAAACACTTAATTGTGTTTTGAATTTAATTTCTTTTATCAAAAGCGGGCCTTAAATAATTAAGGGGAAGGTGCTTTGTTCTTCATGATGGACCACAGTTAGTCATTACATATTAAAGGGAGATCACAGATCAGGCTTTTCCTTTCAATAACTACTTCCTGTTTTATTTGAGAGAAATATACTCCACATTGCCTCATAAAGGCCATCTGGATGGCCTGAGTTAAGTCATCTTTGCTCGCTGTATGCATCAAAGCAGAAATCCCTCATAGTGCATCACTATACGTTCTGCAGGTTAATATGTTTATAGACATAAATTGATTGGAGCATTCGGTTACCAGAAAGACTAGTATTTAATGCGCCAAATTCAGAGAAAAAGATTCAGTTTCTGGCCGATGAAATGTGGCGTCACTACATGTCATCTGTTTGGTGAAGACCTCCTTTTGTCATTTTTCAATACTACTCTTTATTTTCTAATTTACCCTGAAAGAGTTACTGAGTTTTACAAATATATCGATATGGTGATTTGAATTTGGGCAATAATAAAAGAACATACTGATAGTTATCAGTTCTATGGTGCTCTAAAATGTATCATAAATAGATCTATTGTTCTTTACTCCAACTTGAAAAGTATTAACATTTGTTCTTGTATGTGATTACAGAGATATTCCTATGTTTTCTTCATTAGTATCAAAAAGCTTTAAGAACTCATAAAACATGTGACCAACTTTATCAGTGTTTGCCTGCTTGACATTGGGGTTTTTTGTTTTTTATTTGACGTCTTTTATGACAGTTTTGCAACATGAAACTGCTGGTAATGCTGAATGACGAGCAAAAGGGAACAAAACTTGATTTATTACTGTACTGAGGATCAATGTTTGCCGTCCTTTCTTTGTAACAAAAAAATTAGGCAGTACACATGACTTGTGGCCTGATCTAAGTGTTTAGCAAAGACGGTAAAAACTGTTTACTTGATAAAATGTTGTATTCATGCTATTGGTGTTAGATCTGTTGTATTTCCTGGAATCATGTTCCTACTCATACAGAAATGTATGCAATATGCTTCTAAGTGTTTTCTAAGCCTGGAGTATTTTCTGGCTTTCAGTGCTGTAATTCCTGAATCTGATTTCCTAAAAGATAAAAATTTTGATTTTGAAAAATAAGCAACCAGAGTGACTTCTTGTTTTCATTCTAAATTAAAACAATGTATGAATTCCAATTTGATGGTTGTGATATGACATACATAAGCATTTTTTTATGTTTATGTCTGATTACTAAAGTAAAAAATACAAAAAAAAAGTTGGCCAATGTTTTGTGCTTGGGGAGCATTTCAGGAGATGATCAGTGGGAAACAAACTAGTTTTTGCTTGGCATTTGTAAAACTTCAGAGTTGGTTTATCTTTTTGTCTAAACACTGAGCTTTACCTGGAAAAGGTGAGATCATGCCTTTAGATGTTTACCTGGTTTAATAAGGTTTGACATCTGTAAAAACTATTTTGTTAAATATACAGTACAGACAAAAAGTTTGGACACTCTTTCAAAGAGTTTTCTTTATTTTCATGACTGAAAATTGTAGTTTCACACTGAAGGCATCAGAACTATGAGAAATATGTCTTATATTCTAGGTTCATCATAGTAGCCACCTTTTGCTTTGATTGCTGCTTCGCACACTTTCGGCATTCTCTTGATGAGCTTCTAGAGGTAGTCGCCTGAAATGGTTTTCACTTCACAGGTGTCTCCTGTCAGGTTCAATAAGTGGGATGTCTTGTCTATAAATGGGGTTGGGAGTATCGGTTGTGTTGTGCAGAAGTCAGGTGGATACACAGCTGATAGTCCTACTGAAAAGACTGTTAGCTGCTTTTTTTATTTGCCATAATACAAATTCTAAGTAAATAAAAACAAGTGACCATCATTATGTTAAGAAATTAAGGTCAGTCAGTTTGAAAAATTGGCAAAACTTTTTAAGTGTCCCCAAGTGCAGTCGCAAAAACCATAAAGCGCTACAAAGAAACTGGCTCACATGAGGACGGCCCCAGGAAAGGAAGACCAAGAGTCACCTCTGCTGCAGAGGATAAGTTCATCCGAGTCGCCAGCCTCAGAAATCGCAGGTTAACAGCAGCTCAGATTAGAGACCAGATCAATGCCACACAGAGTTCTAGCAGCAGACACATCTCTAGAACAACTGTGTGAATCAGGCCTTCGTGGTAGAATAGCTGCTAGGAAGCCATTGCTAAGGACAGGAAACAAGCAGAAGAGACTTGCTTGGGCTAAAGAACACAAGGAATGGAGGAATTAGACCAGTGGAAATCTGTGCTTTGGTCTGATGAGTCCAAATTTGAGATCTTTGGTTCCAACCATTGTCTTTGTGCGATGCAGAAAAGGTGAACGGATGGACCCTACATGCCTGATTCCCACCGTGAAGCATGGAGGAGGAGGTGTGATGGTGTGGGGGTGCTTTGCTGGTGACACTGTTGGAGATTTATAAAAAAAAACTGAAGGCATACTGAACCAGCATGGCTACCACAGCATCTTGCAGCGGCATGCTATTCCATCTGGCAAGCATTGTGAATAGATGTATTTATACAGTTAAATAAAAATTGGTCTCCTAAAATACTTTAATCCAGTTTCTTATATCTGCAAATTAAAATAATGTAGCTGCTGTTTACCAGCCCTATTTCATTCTTTAAGAAATACAAAATGGGAATAGATTCAGACACCCTAACCCCCTGATGGCTAGTTATCCTCCTTTGGATCAAATACAACGACCTTGGTGAGATGTTCTTGTAGCCATCCACCAGTTTCTAATAACAGGAAAAAATTGGTTAGACTCATCACCTCTGTGGTGTTTTAAGGTTTTCTTTCAGATTCAACCAGTTTCAAGTCACCGCTCAGAATCTAAAAAGCTAAAAGATCAAAGCTTTTACTGCACTTCACTACGTCTCATCCAGTCCTTGATGGGTTAACAGGTATGTGTTGGATGCTAGAGTTGCAGGACTTTCTTCTACTGTAGCTTTTTTTTCTCAAGCACAGCCTGCAACACCACAGATTTAATGATGGACTATGATTGTGAGCTGGTAATGCTGTGATGAAGAAAGTATCTTAATGCATTTTCCAGCTCATTGCTTCAGTTAGTAGGATATCTTTTCCTAAATGGTTAAGTTTTCTTCACTACAAATATACCCTTTTCACACATTCGGATTCAGGCTAATCTATCCAGCAGATGCTATTCCACTTATCCTGCTCTTTTTCTGCATTTTATCCAGAGTTAAGAGGTGTTAACATAGAGCAAATATTTTCTCCTTCCACACCTTTGGCGGTCAAACAGGTGTAGTTTCTTTCTAAATCAACAGGGACTTTCATGTGAACAGAAGCAAGACTCTTATCTGCCCAGTAATGATCCTTTAGGAGTTTTAAAGACACCTGGAGGTACTATATTCCACAGTGAAATATAGTAAAAGAAAGCATTTGATTTCAAATGTTTTCTTTTACTCATTAACACAGTAACTATAAAACTGCAGTAACTTGGTTTCATAGGGCAGCTCTTTCTTTTCAGCACTTTAGGGCAAACCTAACTGAAAATGCTGGCAAAAAACCCTGATTTTAACATCAAGCTGTGGGTATGGTTCTCTTTAATGGACAAGCAAGCGGGTTAGAGTTTATCAGAAAATGGGCGGAGTTAAATACAGGGAAATCCTAAAAGAAAATTTGTTTGAGGCTTAAAAAAGCCAGATGCTGGACTGAGGGGGTTTCTGAGGGTTAATGTTCTAGGAGAGCTGAGAGAATTTAAAACTGAAAACCAGTAATTCCCCAATAGCTTTATTCAGGTTTTTGGATGTAGTTTGACAACATCGTAAAAGGCTCAGAGGTTATGATCACTTCTGCAAGGCACATCATCATAATAATAATGAGAAACATACTTTCAAACCACTAATTTTTGCCTACATTTCATGTATTAGTATATATTTTCATTAGCTTCGTATTCCCCTTGCATGTTTCATTCAACTTTGATTCCTATTGTTTCACATATAACAACCTCTTAGTAGATAATCTAATTAAAACAATACCTTGGGGCGTATTTGCTCTGTAGCCTGATACATTTGTCTTATTGAGAAAAGCCCATTAAGCCATAGGTTAAAGACAGAATTGTCAGTTTGCAGCTGACAAGCCTGTTTAGTGTTTTATTTCTCAGCTGTCAGATTAAAGCTCTTTTTGCAAATATAAAAAAATATATATTTAGGAATATTGTTTTTCTTTTGATCCATGCACAACATTAGTAATAACATAAAAATGTCTTTTAGCATTCCTGTTGAGTTTAAAGAGGTAACAAGCCCTCAATTCAAGTTTTAAGCATCTGTGTTGCTTTAGAAAGGTAAAAGCAGCTTTTTGATGTTGGTGAGTTGGCTCCATGCTCTTGGTAACTTTATTCAAGGGATGTAACAAACAGATGGTTCTGTCTGTTGTGCACTGACTCAGTTTCCCGAAGCGTATTTGCATGTCCAGTCAGTCAGCGGGGACTAAATGCCACCCTCCCCCACCCCTGCAACATTTGGCTTCTTAGACCAGGGATAAATTCATGAGTCTATCGACTACAGCGAATTGCCAAGGTCCTGGTGCAGCAACTGTACCCTGCATCATCATACTACTAATGCAATATTTGAATAAAGGTATAAGGTTATTATTCTGAAATGTATTCTTTAGTTTAAAATACAATGTAACAGTACAGATAATTTACAAAGTTCCCTTTCTGTCTCAGTTTTAACAGAGTTCTTGCTCTAACTGACTATTTCTGACCAGGAGTCAGGTATTTCTGTTAAAGGCAGAACGATTTTCGTAGAATATCTTTCTTATATATTATTTTCAGGATAGAGGGACAGTTTTAGCTAAATTGTTGACAAACATCTTTTTAAAATCACCTTCTGCACCTTTAAAACTGTTTTTTTTTATTAGCTTCAAGGTCCCATATTATGCAACATTTGAAAATAAAAACAAATGAACAATGAGATCCCCAGAGCATGTTTTATGTGCATATGTGCAGGAAAAATTCCTTTCAAATTAGGCAGACAACACATACAAAAAATCTCCATATCCAGCCTTCCTCTGGACGGGCTGTTTTGGCTTCCCATGTCCGTCTCCTCTCGAAGACCGTGGCCCCGCAACCATGACAACCACTCAGAGTTTTTAAAGATAGTGGCTAAGAGTGTGAATATTACAGTGTTTGAGCTCAGACTGGAGCTTGACCGACTGGCAGCTACAGACCACTCTGGACAGCTTATTTCCCTTGAAGACATCATTAGGGGAATGCTTTCTAAATAGAGCATTTTGAACACAACTTAGCTAAGAGGTGGAGAAAGGCAAAGATAGAGGTGAAAGTTTTCTTTTTTTCATTTGTCAATCTCATACACATGCCTCAGAAAACATATGACTTACAAAATGTTTATAATGTGAATTATGCGTAATATGGGACCTTGAACATCACTAAACT